GTGGCATGTACAGTAAGGTAGCTCTAGAGACGGCTAAATTTGGACAGAAGCACTTGGAGCTGGGCCAGCACCTTCTGATTTTGGAGGACCACCAGACCTCACCTCAGCAGACATTACAGAACTTACCTTCTATACTACGCCTACGGAACATCATTAATAACTCCCGTCACCAATTGTAATAATATGAACACTATGGAGCGCCCACGCTTAATTCATGCATACTACAATATTCAATGTCTGCAACAGATAGGTAGTCATCTTCTATCACCACTGGCTCATGATCACCCCCGTCGCCGTCTCATCGCGGCATATATCTCCACTCAAGCACCCCAGAACATGAGCTTTTAGTGCCAAACCGCATCAACAACCGCCTGATGGGCCATCTTAGGCCCAATATCAGCGGCCAGTAACGTTGCGAAGGCGCCTTGTAAACCAAGTCTCGTCCCGTATCTTGTGGCTCGACTATTCCTGGCTTGTCTAAGCCTCAATGATTTAGCGCCGCCATATTGTCCTTTTCACTTTAATCCGACACTATCACAGACCGATAATAATGTTGAGTCCGGTTCGTGATAACATTCATGGGCCGCGTTATTACTTACGTGGAGATACGAATCACAGCTGCCTGTTGATACCTAGCTTCGTCAAATGCGTACTACGAGCTGATGAATACACTAGGCACCACAGTTTTCAATGCATGGGACTAGCCAGATTGTTTCTCTGGGCAAAGGCCGTCAATCTTCATATCACTTTCCAGATAGTTTCCGGTGATCTCGACTCAGGCTTGCAAGGCGATTCGTTCGACAGTCACGCCAAAAATGAAGCCTCATTATGATCGTGTACGCCAAGACATTTTTTCCTTCCAACCATCACACTTTCTTTGATCAATAAAATGGAATATGTTCTAGTTATCTTGCTTGGGTCAGCGGTCGGGGCTCCCCAATCGTCTCAATCACATCTAATCACAGCCCAATAGAAGCGATGGAAAAGCATGTTCATGTTTGCTTCGTAGTCCATGCATGAAGCATGTCACATGTTCCGGCTCACATCCATTGATAGGTAGAGAACATCCTAATGGTCTGCCGAACTATCAATGTTGCAGCTAGTAGGCCATCATCGAGTTGCTCAACTCAATATCACTCTCATACAAAAAGACCCTCGTCTGATGACTCGGGGCTAATGCAAGTGACGCTGGCCTCATCCTAGCCAGGAACGCTCGTTCTATCTACCATTGGTCAGTTCTTCACAAAACCAACAAGGAATCCCCGCCCCAATCCGTAGCAATGAGCGGCCCGCTTCTGCAGGGGTCTTGATCCCTCTCAAAGGGTCGCCGCGGCCTATTATGCGACCCCATCTCTTAACTATTTCAAACTGTGCGCCACGAGCTCGAGATATGACCAACCGTGTCAGCGGTCTATAAACTAAGCGGTATAGATAGGAGGTCTATGTATCGGCATGCTGAGGTTATAATAGAGGTGAAAATACATTACATACAAGATGGTCAGATACATGAACTCTAGTTGGGCAGAGTTACATCAGACCATCTCAAGCTAGCCCCAGGGCTCACTTGTCACACCGCAAACTACCTCGATGTGTCGGGTGCTGTTGTTGACGGGGCTGATCACTCTTCTAGTAAAATAGCCGACGGCTTGCATTTCTTGATCGCAAGACTGATCTGAACATCACCGGATCCACCTGTTGGTCTCCAAACTGAAGAGTACGACTGCCGACGATAGATCATTGCCGGTAAGTCAGTATCCACTATTCACGTTCTCTACGCAGGAGTGGTTCGCGGTGTAGATGACTTCTTTGAAAAGATTACCGAGGGGTTTTCAGTCACTTTCTTACAATAATTTCTCGTTCTCATAGTCATGTCCTGGCCGGTGCATTCATTTGTGATATGTGACATGGTCTCATCCTTCATAATGTATTTGCCAACTGATGGTCACGAGGGTAAGCCTCGTTCTCGAAACTCGTATTCAAGTACCAGGCGGCTATTTAATAAGTGCTCACTACATCAATAATAGCAAGCCCCTCAATAAGTCGTTCACATCTGAGAAAATTCATCCTGCGTTCGGTCTCTAGGGTAAGGTTGCATTAGGATGGCTGAATGGCATATGTAATACAACGATAGAGACGCTGACTCTGCGAGAGTGAGTTGGATTTCGCAGAGACCATAGCCTAGATGTGTACACAGCATATGTGGACGCTGAGGTGTCTTTGATGTAGTCCTGTGACGTCCATGAAACAGCCCGGTGTTTTCGGCGCAAGTGTATAAAAAAGCGGGCCGTACCCGGAGGCCAACGTCCGGCCGGATCGGGATCGAATCTGGAAAGCCTTCATCTTCTCTCGGCTCATGTGCCAAGTCTCTTGCGAAGATGTACGTATCTCGACTGAATGACGGGAGGGACTAATAAGTGATGTAATTATACTGGGTCTATCAAAAATATCGAATTGCATGTACCACATTATGACCTTGATTCAATTATCATTGTCGCCTGACGTCAACGATAGTGATGACAAAATGACGCTGGATTTGGCTGTTGGAGCTCAATATTATATCAGCCGCGAGTGGCCATATATCAACGAGGATTTCTACTGTTTAGTAGCCCACTGTCACTCATCCTGCAGACAAATCACACTTCATTTTATTGAATCTCAAAATGTCGACACCAGCAGCTCCCTTCTATCAGCTCCGTTGCGGCTGCAACCAATACCCATGGGGTAAACAAGGTTCCAACTCTCTATCTGCACGACTATGTGAAAAGACGCCGGGATGGGATGGCGATGAAAAGAAGAACTTCAAGATTGATGAGGACAAACCATATGCTGAGATGTGGATGGGCACATACCCCGTGTTGCCGTCCTATGTTGCTAGCACAGGCGAAGATCTCCAAGAGGTTCTGGACCGATACCCAAAGGAACTGTTGGGGGAGAAAATCACTTCGAAGTTTGGACACAGCAAGCTTCCATACCTTCCCAAGGTTCTGTCTATTGCGAAAGCATTGCCATTGCAGGTTCACCCTAATAAGGAATTTTCGAGTAAGAAGCACAAGGAGGACCCAGACTCATTCACGGATGGCAACCACAAGCCAGAAATCGCCCTCGCATTGTCCGAGTTTGAGGCCTTTTGCGGCTTCAAACCTGTTGAGGCTATCGTGGATATCTTACGCCAGAAGCCCTTGAGACACTTCCTTGTCGCCGGTGGCGCAACTGTCGCGGATGAGAAGCTCAGTAAAGAAGGATTGAAGCAGGTTGTCAAAACTATTTTAACATCATCTGACGAGGACATCAAGAAGGCTTTTCAGGCAATCCGAGAGCTCCCGGACTCTGCCTTTACGGGACTTAACTCAGCCATTCCACAGGTTGCCAAGAAACTCGAGAAGAGTTTCCCTGCAAATGACCCTGGTAATCTGGTCGGCTTGTTGTGTATGAACTACATGCTACTCCAACCGGGCGAGGTCATCTACATTCCGGCCGGAGGCATTCATGCTTATATCCAGGGCGATATCATTGAATGCATGGCACGTTCTGACAACGTTCTCAACACTGGATTCTGCCCCAAGGCCGAGCGAGACAATGTCGATGAGTTCTGCTCAGTGCTTAACTGGGAGCCCACGACCAAGTCACAAACAACCCTGCAGCCAGAAAATTATCCTGGAAGTAAGGAGGGCAAGACCCAGCTTTTCAAGCCACCTACCAGCGAGTTCAACGTGCTTGCGACTGACTTGAAATCTGGTGAGCGCGAGGCATTGAGTGAAGGTGGCCCCAAGATTATACTTGCTACACGTGGAAGCGCAAATATTAAGGCAAATGATCAGTCGTTTGAGCTATCCGAGGGCCATGTGTATTTCGTCGCTCAAGGAGTGAAGCTGGATATCACTGCTGGTAGTGGAGGTCTGTTGCTGCACACTGCGGTTGCGGAATGATTGACTACGACGATTAATGAAGAGGACAGTTCAGTCCATGAAACTTGATGAGATAGATTATGAATGGAGAAGACTCTTAAGCCGTAGTTTGAACAGATGTCGCAAAGTCTCATATAAGAAGCTTAAGGTTCAGTTCTAAATCATCACTCACACAGTCTTTTTTGTTTACACGTTACCTGTATGCTCCTTCCGGCGTACTGTTCAACTAAGTGGCAACTGATTTAATATTGAATCTCGTTTACCAGCCATTGCGGCATGGAGGAAATAGCTGACGGTGTAGGCTCGACTTTGGATGGCAGTGTTAGTGGCGGAGCCGCTTATGAAAGTCCAGGTCCATGTATCGATAACAAAAGCTTCACAAGTCATTTTTTTAGGTATCTCGTATGAGGCCCGTCATAACCACAATACTTAACCACCACACAAACCAAAATTAAATGATGTGAGTATGACTCGGGATAACAACAGTACGGTTAGATTCTAGGACAAAAAGACAAAAACATACAACAGCGGGNNACTACCTATGGTCGTATGTACCTGTCAACCGTGGGAAGAGGATTATACCCCGAGGCCTCTGTTTGTTTTGATAAAGTACATAGCGCCTGAAGTACGTTATCGCATATCGAGCTGATGATGGATAATGGAAGCTTTAGGCAATAGAGTGGGTGAAAACCTATTACGGCATGTGGTCTATGAGAATCTGGCGAGGAAGGAGGAGAAGGTTGAGATGCGGTTGCGAGGTGGTTGCGGGTGGTGTTTTAGTTTTAGGCAGGCACGGAGCATTGGCCAGGCAGGTAGGGGTGCACTGTGCTAAGTGTGCCACTGGGACGAAAGAACGGACAGTGCGACTGCTCCATGATTCACTCTGACTTTCGCCTTCTTCTTTTCACAGCTTCTCAACACTCTTCACCATGAGATTCTTACACAAGCCAACAATCCCCGAGGCTGATCTCATATATTTGAACGACCAGGCGGATGAATGATACCAAGCTCCTTTTACGTCCAACGGCCTCGAACGCCTCTCTTATTCTGGACTTCCACCTTAACCAACCTGCTGTTCGCGTCTAAGTGTCAATAATGTCAACTTTTGACGGCATCATATCTGAATTCCCAGATATTAGAAGTCAGTTAATCTCCGAGAAATGGCTAACACGTTCTTACAAAATCCCAGTTGACTTCTTCCGGCGCAATGCCGGTGCACAACCGCCACTTGCTTGTTTTCTAAGTCATGTTCATAGCGACCACTTGGCTGGAATTGAAAGCCTGCGATCTCCATTGTACGTCTCCAAAATTGCTTTGAGTAATCTACTAACTTTAGATCCAGTGTCTACTGCTCGGCAGCCACCAAAGAGATCCTTCTTCGTCTTGAACGATATCCTTGTCGCATCAACTATGCTAAGGGGGTGCTAGAATCAAGACAGCAAACCTTCAAGCATCTCCGCAAAGTCTTGGTATGTATACTCTCTATTTACACGACTTAGTACTGAAGGAATAGAAACCATTGCCTTTGGAAACGCCTACATTGATCGAGCTTTGCCCGGGCCGCGAGATCCAGGTAACCCTTTTTGACGCCAACCATTGCCCTGGGGCGGTGATGTTCTGTAGGTCGACACCCAAAAACAGCCCTTACTGTTTCTGACCGATTCAAGTGGTCGAAGGAGGTAATAAATCAGTTCTATATACCGGAGATATTCGAAGCGAACCATGGTTCGTTAATTCTATTTCCCGGAAACCCAACCTTATTGAGTATACATCTGGCATCAAGACCATTGACAAGATTTATCTTGATACATCTTTCACTGAGAATGTGGCTTTTCAGACAAAAGCCGAAGGTATCGCTGAATTGTTGCGAAAGGTTTCCCAATACCCAAGTGATACCATCTTTCACTTACAAGCCTGGACTTACGGATATGAAGACGTCTGGCTCGCCTTATCTAAGGCTTTAAAATCCAAAGTCAGTAGAATGACCTCACAAGATGGCGAACTTTGATCACTGATATTAGCAGATCCATGTCGACGACTACAAACTCCGAATCTATGGTTCGCTCAAATCAAAAACCCCTGACTCGAGATTTGACGCAGACAATCATCTGACTCCAGAGTCGCCGGCTCTGACTGGCCACACGTGTGGCAACACGCCACATCCAGGGTGCTTAACGTCAGAAGAAAATGTCCGCTTACACAGTTGTGAAAAGGGAAACTTATGCGACGTGGCTCAAAGACCTACCACTATCTCTATTCAACCGATCGTTGCGCACTTGCCTACAGGAGAGGACTTGGCCGAAGTTGGTGTTGGTGGTGGCGGAGTTGACCTTCAACGAGAAGCTGAGCTGGAGTTTCTGGACCAAGCTAGCCTGGCCACCCTGTTCAATACGTTGGTACAATGTGTCACTTTTGCGGGAGGCATGCTAATTACGAACCCAAGGCTCCTCTCCTCATCTATGTCTTCAACCGACATGCCAGATATACTCCAAGGGACCTTGGAGAAGATAGCCTCCACCGGTCGTAACATTCCACTGGAATGGGACATCAACACCTTAAACGCTCACTCCGCTGAAGAAGTTATCATGATGCTGGTGGAGAAAATGAGAAAGAATCCCAAAAATCAGAAGCAGCGTGACGAGTGTAGTCTCCCAAGAACTATTTACTTTCCATATTCAAGGCATTCTTCGTTACCAGAACTCCGCCACTTCGTCGAAGCTTTCCGGCCACTAGACGTGTGGCCATGCACTGTCAATAACGCTGAGTGGCTAAAGGATGGTAAGTAATGCATAGGGACCTACCCGCCTTTAGCTAACATATGAAAGGAATCACCATTAGGGGCATGTTTGGGCCATCATGTTCCGGTGACTTGTTTGAGCATGATTTGGTGATGCAGGATTTTGCTGCCACACACATATCAGATGACGGACATCAGCAACATGGTAGCCAGACAACGATCGGATCCGACTCCGTTCCAAGCTCACCGGTTCGTGAGTCGCAGGGTGCAGGTCAGAAACGCCCTATCAATATAAACAATCGATTCGTGAGCCCCTTATTGGATACGCAAGCGAGTATTCGTCACAGGCGCATTGTCTCGGAAGCGGAATGCCCAGAGGAGAACCTGGAAGCCCCATCCGAAAACTCTACTCAGCAATCGCTCGTAGTGCCTACCATCGAGCAAGTGGAGGACGTGCAGCAAGATAACCACATTCATCCGGAACCACTGCTAAATAACTCATCCAATTCGCCAGCACCTGTTTCGTGCCGCCGCAAACGTACCATTTCTGATACTTCAGCAAGGGAAAATGGCAGTAACAGGCAACAAATGCGTCAAACTCCTGAGGAAACGTTGCCCCGGACATTATCAGACGAGGCCTCAATTGGTCGCCAGGATGCATATTGGCATATGGTTGATTACATGGACAAGGGTACTTGGGGATCGTTCCAGCTAATATCTACGAGCAACGAGTATACAGTCAATGAATCGGAACTGTGATCGAGCGTACATTCTATAATATTCCAATTAAGCAATTCATGTTTCTAGCAAAGATCACCATGCTTCATTCCGGACAGAACACAACGCTTTATGCTGGTGGTGAGGGCACCTGTGCCTATACAACAGCTTCAGCGACCATCTGTTTAGGCCACTGCATCATTCCTAAGAAATTTGGCCTGTCACTTAAGCCTTCTTCTAACTTGGCCATCACCTGTCGAGACCAACCCCTCGTGAACCAGAAGCCTTTCTCAAATACAGCCCAGTGCACAAGGTAATGTGCGAAGAGCAGAAGAGCATGTGGCCTTTGTGCAGCTAAGTCGATAAGTATACTGTCATCAATAATGTATAGCCAAAAATGTGCCGCCGCGACCTCTGCATGTAACCCAGCAGCGGCAAATAGTCTCGCAGAAGTTTCCAGACCTTCAACAGCTGATGTGTAATGTTGCAAGCCGCTAGCAGGGATATCAGCTTCTTGGAAGGCTCGAAGCCTTTGCAATGCGGTCCATGTATCTGTGGGTAGAGACGAGTTCTCGAGAGAGGGACAGCTATGGGTTGGGTCAGCTTCTTTCAAGGTAAGATGACAGCCACGGGCATAGATACCGTTCTGCCTCATCGTCAGAGTCAAGACCCCAGATTCCGAAGACGACAGGAGCGAATTCTGTTTTGACTATCCGCCCCATTGCTGGTTCAAGTGTTGTCTTGATACCCCTTAGCAGCCCAGCAAGTTCGATGAGATTTGTGATGGGGTCTTCCAGTGCACAGTTATTCATCCGGGTCGGTAGCGTCAACATATGCAGCACAACAAGAGATGCAAAGCCAAAAACAGGCATCCAATTGGTCATGCTATAGTGTTGGAGGTAACGACGATAGCCCTCGGAGCCAAGAGTTTGATGATAGTCAGCCAATGGCAGATAGGTCTTGCGATTATCTGGCACCAGATAGGCCTTGTGGGCAGCGGCAATAGCAAGGATTCCATGCATGACGAAAGGGTCTTGATAGCCTAATCTTGGAATGGCGACGCCCCAGACATATGCCAGATCTTTCCGGACGCACAATGTATCCGCGGTTACTGTGCAGTAGTGATGCATAAGCTCACAATCGCGGGCCCAAAGTTCATGTGGAGGGAAGGGAGCGATCTGCTGTGTGGGACTGGGGTGACTGTAGGTGCCAAAGGGATCAGGGGAGTTGACTAGATGATGGCTGTCTAAGGAGCTCAGAGTTGGAGCTGGGGTTGAATCTGAGGGACTCAAATTGGGGAAATATGATGAGCGACTGTCACTGCTGCCTTCAATTGAAGAGATGCCTAGATTGGTTAAGGGTTGTGACGCGAGACTGCATGTTACGCCATGTCTTGTGCAGTGGAAACATGATGGTCGAGCCTCATCACACTACTTTGGTTAGATACAGAGAACGGCAGAACGGTTATGGAGAAGCTTAAGCCTCCAGCTCGGAAAGGGCGTTATTAGTTTACCAACCTTGACTTTACGCTTCTTACAGTTTATACAACCAGTCCGAGATTTGGTATGAGTTCTTCGAGAAGACATTGTATGATTGGTTTGTAAACCCGCGGGTTCGTATCACGAACAAACGTCAAGCGAAGAGAAAAATGAGAGACAGGAGAAGACCAGCTTAGAGACACTCTTTTCACATGGACTCGGGAGAATATAGAGCGAGGCAAATGACGAGTACGCGGAAACAGCCTTCTATACGCGTACTCGGAGCCGCTAGGGTTGTTTTAGGAGAGGAGAGTATGGTCGGCATCCTTGTCATCGGGACGTTGAGGCTCCTGTTAGTGGCAGACTGACCAATGTGAAGCAAAGCATGATGAGACTCGAGCTTTATTGGGACAAGAATGGGATATTCGCGAGTACTCGCAAAGTGTTCGGAGGTTTATCAGATGTACGAGGATAGCCAAGGCTGTGCGAAGGGAGTAAATTAGGTGGTAGAAACATTTGTTATAAAGAAGACGTCCTGTTTCCTTTGACGGTACGAAAAATAAACATTGTTCAGCGGTTGAGTGGTTCTCGGCAGGTTTGTTTCTTTGTGTTGGAATACCTCCATACCTACCTGTTCTTTTTCTGTCCTTTCCTAGCCCTTCTTATTTTATCTTTTTTCAAACTCTATCTAAACTTTGACTGTACATCGGAAACACTAGTCGAGTGGTTAACATGGACTGCAACCCCAACTACAAGGATGCCGTTTGGGCATTCTATCGATTTGTGCCGTCAAAAGAGGCAAACATTGTGTTTGTAGTTCTCTTCGCTACAACGACGCTCCTCCATGTCTTCCAACTCTGGCGAACAAAAACGTGGTACTTAATCCCATTAGTTTTGGGCGGAGTCTGTATGTTTTACCCGCATTTCAATTGGAACAGGGACGCCGAACTAACCAAGGGTATCCAGGCGAGGTTATCGGATATATCGGGCGGGTTTTAAACACCAATGAAGAGCCTGGATGCTGGACGATGGGACCCTACATCATGCAGAGCGTCTTGATTCTCATTGCGCCTGCGCTCTTTGCAGCGTCGATTTACATGATCTTGGGAAGGATTATCCTCTTGACGGAGGGTGAACACCACTCGTTGATCAGACGGAAGTGGCTCACCAAGATCTTTGTATTTGGAGATGTTGCGTCGTTTATGCTTCAATCATCAGGTGAGAGGCTCCTCTTTGTGTGAATGGTTGATAGAAATGCTGACTTTTCAGGTGGTGGTCTCATGGCCATTGCAGATCTTAGCAAAATGGGCGAAAAAATCATCGTTGGGGGTCTTTTCGTCCAGCTCTTCTTCTTCGGTTGTTTCATCCTCGTAAGCGCGGTATTCCACATTCGAATGCATCGAGACCCCACCCCAAGATCCTTAGAATCTCGCGTAAGGTGGCAGACATATCTCACGACACTCTACGTCACAGGAATTCTGATCTGGGTCAGGAGTTTGTTCAGGGTGGTTGAGTTCATCGAAGGAAATGATGGGCACTTGATGCGCAGCGAGGTCTGGGTATTTGTGTTTGATGGTATGCTGATGCTGCTGGTGTTGGTATGGATGAATTGGTTCCATCCTGGCGAGATCGGGCTCCTGATCAGGGGAGAGACAAGTATCACGAATGGACTTGAGCTGGTCAAGATGGGAGGATCGGGGAGAAAGAGACTCGATACCATGGAGAGTCTATCGTCTGAACATAATGTTTGAGTTAAGGATAAGAGATTTGCTGTTGCATTAGATTGGATCATGAAATTCTGATGCTAAAATAGAATAGTGCCCCCCGCGGCTGGAACCTCCCCCCCTGTAAATCGAAAGCTTAGCGCATATACCAACCAATCACCCAATTCCTCGCGTCATCCATCCCTGGGCCTGAGACGGACAAGACATCTCTCAAACTAACATGATGCATTCCAAGGAAAAAACATGGTCCTAACTGCTGCAGTAGCTTCATGGGGAAGTACCTCGGGATGACAATTGACTTATCAACATGATAGCATTACTATTAGCTCTTCAGCTGAGTCGATAAGAAGTGGCGCTTGGCTAAGGAGGGATGGGTTTATCTAGGTAGTAGTCTAGCCTGGCTGTGCCTCTTTGTTCTCTTCCTGTTGTTCTTGTGTAAATATTCCTATCAATTGATCTGATCTTCTCTGGAGAAGCATCATCATGACTGTCCTGGGCGACATACTGACCGAAGTCACCTTCACTCGCGTCTTGCTCTTCGGCTCTCTCTTCTTGCTCGTATCGTTCATTGTCGATCTGCTCACTCAACCTCGTTATCCCTCTGAAATTCCCGTTCTTGGTCACAGTTCAGAGAAATGGTTCTCTAGAATCAGGAATAGTCTCGCCTACTTCACTCAACACCAGGCCTGGATTGGCGAAGGCTACGAAAAGGTAACGCCTCCAACCCACGATACCACTACCCATTTTCTAAGAGAAATAGTATGGCAAAAATGGCCTTCCATTCATTGCTCCAGCGCCCATATCGCGACCTCCAGACGTCATCCTTCCCCGTTCGCAAATCGCCTGGATGATGGACCAGCCCGATCGAATCCTCTCAGCATCCCACGCCCACGACAAGATCCTCTACACAGAGTATAACTTCCTCGGAAAAGATCTCGCCGCGGAGCCCTTTGCGAATCGCGTCATGCACAAGTATCTCGCCCGTAACTTGTCATCAGCGATACCAGCGGTCGAAGACGAAGTCAACGGTGCTGTTGAGCATGCACTAGAGACCATGATGAAAGCAGCTGCTGAGAAAGACCCCAAAAATGTCGACAGTGAAGGCTATACGAAGGTCAATCTCTGGGATCTGTGGCTTGCGATCGTCCCGCGCGTTACAAACCGTCTTCTCGTTGGCAGCCCAGCATGTCAAAATCCTGACATCTTGAAGCCGATGGTGAGCTTCACTGACAACGTTGTAATGAACAGCTTCTTGCTACATGGCTTCCCTCAAGTTCTCCACCCGATTATTGGCCGTTTGATCACCATTCCAAACTATCTCCATTGGCGCAAGGCGTCTCGTGTCTTACTGCCAATCATTGAACAGCGCTTGAAAGATATGCAGCGTCAGGAGGCTGGCGACCCTGAGATGAAGAACTACACGCCCCCAGAGGACTTTATAACTTGGGATATTCGTCTTGCGATGGCGGAGAAGAAGCCCTTTGAGCTCAATCCCATCGTAATTTCTAAGCGGCTCTTACCAATCAACTTTGCTGCTATCCACACAACCGTCTTGACAGGCCAATCTTGGATGCTGGATTTTCTGTCGTCTCCACCATCTGTTCTTGAAACACTACGCAACGAGATCCTCGAACACAAGCCTTCTGAAGGCCACTGGACGAAACAGGCTCTTTCTTCTCTCGTACGCGTCGACTCATCCATCCGCGAATCTCAGCGTGTAAGTAACTTTGCCGCCAACCTCATCGAGCGACAAGTTATTGCACCAGAGGGTCTGCATCACCCTGACTACGGATGGACTTTGCCGCGCGGGGCATTCGTAACGGTCAACTTGCAGGGAACGCACCACGATGATGAGATCTATGAGGACGCCATGAGCTATGATCCCTGGCGATACTCACGAGTCCGTGAAGAATGGGAGGCGAAGTCAGCTGAGGAGAAGCAAGAGAGGGAGGACGAGGCTAAGAAGATCAGAGGATTGGGAATGGTGACAACTAGTGATGCTCACTTGGCTTTTGGTCACGGCCGACATGCCTGGTAAGCCTCATGGATATGTATGAGAGTCTGAATGCTAACATTGCGAAGTCCTGGCAGGTTCTTTGTTGCACATGAGCTCAAACTCATCATGGCTGCTTTCCTTCTCAACTACGACATTAAGACACTCGAGAAACGACCAAAGCCCCAATGGATGGGCGCCACTATCATTCCTCCCTTGGACGCATGCATCGAAATTCGACGAAAGAAATCAACATGATTAATTCAGCTATTGCAAAATCTAGCTATACCCTCCGTGGGCCTCCTCGTCATTCAGAGTCACCCCATTGCGCTTGTCCTCCATCAACCTCGTCAGCGCCGTCACCAACTTATCAACAGCCACCTCAGACGTCTGATGATGAAACACAAGCCTGGCCATGGGGAAGACTGAAACATTCTCCTTTGTGCAATACTCAACGAATGCCGCGGGTGGGATCTCTGATGCTTCCAAGTCCAGCAGAATCATGTTGGTCTGAACAGGAAGTGTGAACTTGTATCCCACTGCTTCGAGTCTCGCAGCAGCATCTTTCGTCATGGCGTGCACAGACGGAAACCTCGGGATGCTGTACTCAAGCGCAGATAGAGCTGCAGCGGCCATCATGCCCGGCTGTCGAGTTCCTCCTCCCAACATCTTCCTGAACCATTTTGCCCGCTCAATAAAAGGCTTCTTGCCGAGGATGACGCTGCCCATTGGAGCACCGATGCCTTTAGCTAGACAAATGGATATACTGTCAAAGCAGGCTGCGTAGGCCTTCAGATCAACACCTTCTCCGATGACGCCGTCAAAGACACGAGCTCCGTCGAGATGCATGGCAATGGGCTTCTGGCCTTCCGGTACAGGGAATGAACGGACATAGTTCGAGATGGTTTGGGCAACAGCCAGAGGTAGAATAGTGCCCGAGAGAGTATTCTCAAGAGATACGACCCTCGTAGGTGGGAAGTGAACTATCAAGTTAGTTACGTATCATACTTTAGCACAAATCAACATACTGTTCCCATCAGCGATGATGTTCTTCTTAACATCCTCCAACGTCAGATGCACTCCGTTCTTTGCATGAACCGTCGTGACACTCGCCTGCGAAATCACCGGCAGAGCACCACTCTCCCAACAATGCACATGCGCCCTGTGATCCAGCAGTACACTATGCGGCGGCTGGGTAAGATGCGTTCTCAAACAAATTTGGTTCCCCTGAGTTCCAGAAACAGCCCATAGAGCAGCCTCCATGCCCGTCAACTCGACAAGTCGAGCCTCTAGAGCCTTGACGGACGGGTCGCCTTCAGGATCATAGATATCGTCGTTTACCGAAGCCTCAAGAATAGATGTCATCATCTCTTCGATGGGGACGGTAACGACATCTGAGCGGAAGTCACGAGAGGCTTTCTCCCGGCTGGCAAGCAACTTGGCTTGGACTTTTGGCGTGAATGGGGATTCGGGGCTTGTTAGGGAAGGCATTTTGAGCTTGTGATGCAGTGTTTGATAGTGAGTGAGGTAGGATAGTACTTTCAATGGACTATCAGGGTCTTTTTATATTTATGTAGTTTATGTATACTTGATACCCCACATGTCTTGAGGGGAATCTATGTCTTGCTGCTTTGCATTCGTTATCTCTGTGGTGAGTGTTGATCTGAAGTTTCCCGCGGGGATGTGTCAGTCCCAACTGCGAAACGGGGTTGTAGATGATGTTGTGGATCTCGAGACTCTGTACGTAGTTCGGGATCTACTCCAATTCTCCTGGGCGTACACCGAACTATAGATACCCTCCCTGACTTACCATCTCTCCCATGAAACTGTATTCACAGGGTAGAATCTGCTGTGTGCTCACCCACAAGGATGTCATAGATCATTACCACATCCAGTCTTGCAAAAATGTTCCCTCTCATCGATAACAAATGCTCAATCCAATATCCATTCTGCTTTGTCTACTCCTCACTTTTGTGACTTGTTCAGGCATGTATGCATGGCAGTCTGTCTATCACCTGGTATCCCCACAGTCGAAATCCGCGGCCAACTCAAAGTTTCCCGCGGTTGCGCGGCTCAACGAGGACGATCAATTCTGTAAGTAGCGTCTACTATATACTCACGAAAGAGAAGACAGACATTGATTAGCTTCTCAGATGCATACTAACAGCTCGTCGTTCGGGGTCTAGGGGCTATACTGGCAGAAACATGTCAACAGATCAATAGTGTGAATAAAACCTTTGTTACTCGACATGTGCATTATAACTTAGCCATTGTTGCCTTTCATAGGCTCAGGCTCAAACACGCTCTCTATAACTACAAGTCGAACCCCAATCCATCTGTGTTTCCAAGGAAAATACCCCCGTTCTTCCCTTCTCTCAAAAGAGCACCGACGTCCACTCTTCCACCCGTGATATACCTCTCGCTAACTCCCAAGTTCACTCTCCTGCTCAGCTCCTCTCTCAGCTGAGCCTTCAAAGCACCCATTTCGGCCTTAGACAGGCTCTTGGCTGCTTGCTCCTTTCTCCTTCGTCCACCACCTCGACCACCCTTGCCACCACTTGCGTTAACAGCCTCGAGATCTTCAGAGTCGTATTCTACTCCAAGTTCATCAGCTGCATTTCGCAACCATGTATCGTCGCTGTGAGCCTTTTCCTTGGCTAGTACAGTATCGGCGATCTTCTTAGCCAGGTCCACGCGGGGTTTGAGACGTGATGCCATCTTCCGATCAATAAGGAGAGTTTGGATAAAGTGCTCTCTCTTTGCCCCCGAGCTACGCTCAGTGTGGACTTTGCTTGCAAGACGTCGTGTAGGAAGGACTTCGTCCGGTGAGCACAGGATCACACTCACGCCACTAGACTCGCCACGGGCTGTACGACCAGATCGGTGGATGTAAGTATCCGCAGATCGGGGGACATGGTAGTGCAGAACTTGGTCAACCTGCTTAATATCCAGACCACGAGCGGCAACATCAGTAGCAATGAGAATAGAATTGCGAGCAGCAGTGAAACGCTCAAGTGAACGAAGGCGCGCCTTTTGTGCCATTTGGGAGTGCAGAGGCAGCGCTGTGAGGTTAAGATTCGTGAGAAGGGGTGTTAGACGGCGAACAGCAGAGATGGAGTTGGTGAAGACGAGAGTGCGGCGACCAGGGTTGAGAAGGAGAACGGTGTATAGATAGAGATCCTGTACAAGATTAGCATGATGAGTCTGTCTGGCTTGTTCTGAAAACTCACCTTTTCCATAGCACCACACTCAATAAGTCCTTCCTTCAACCCCTGAGCCATCTGGCTTACGGGGTTGACATCGATAAATTTAGGCTCACCCCTGAATTTCAAGCACTTCATCAGATAAGCCATCTTCTCCTCATCGCTTCCTGTAGATTTGCCCTTTCCAGCCAATTTGGTCTGAAGGTCCTTGTCAAAAGTTGCTGAGAAGACCAACGTCTGTCGTGCACTACTCTCATCCTCTTCATCTTTCTCCTCGTCTTCATCTGAGCTCTCTGCATCGTCGCCCGGACTTTTCCCGTCTAAAGCACCGATGATATCCTCGGCCTCCTTGAACTGACCAACTTTAAAGAGTCGATCGGCTTCGTCGACAACAAGGAACTTGATCTTGGCGAATTTGCTTTGCAAAGCCCTGTCGCCACTGAGAACCTCCCATAAGCGACCCGGTGTGCCGATAACAAAGTCAGCCTTCTCCAGTTGTCGCTGCTGCTTCTGAATACTGAGGCCACCTGTCACGACACACACGTACGGCGCGCTGGGAAGACCGTTACAGAGTGCCTTGAGATGATCACCCAACTGCTTGGCCAATTCTCGTGTAGGAGAAAGCACCACAGCCATAGGACCAGTTCTCTTGACACCCTGCTCTTGCAGCTCCAGCCAGCGCTCAACCATGGGAATACCGAAAGCCAATGTCTTTCCTGAACCTGTCTGCGCCTTGCCAATAACGTCATCGCCAGCCAGAATCTCGGGAATCGTCTTCTCCTGAATCAAAGTCGGCTTGGTAAACTTGAGTTTCGCGATGGCTGAGAGGATCTGAGGTGATAGGTTCAGAGGAACCCAGGCCGCCATGTCGACGTCTTCTTGGTCTGCGTAGTCGTTTGCATCGGCCAACGCGCCGAACGTGTTGCCCCCGCGTGCAGAGGACTTTTGTACGACTTTCGAGGCCTTGTCCAACTGCTCGTCTTCTTTTTTGGCGCCACTGTTCTTCCCATCCAATTTGTCTTTGTTTTTGTTCTTCTTGGTCTTTTCTTGTTCTGGTTTCCCTTGCCCAGCCTTGCCCTTATTCTTCCCTTGAGGCTTCTCGCTCTCCAAGCCACCTTGACCACTGCCAGTTTCGCCGGGATTGATATCCCCGACCTCCACAGGGTCGTCGCCAAACCCTTCAAAAGATTCGTCCCCATCGAGGACTTCTTGTTGGGGATCGATTATGTTGCTCTTGTCGCCGGCCACGAGGAATTGGACTTTGCTACCATCCTTGACCACGTCCACGCCCTCGATAACCTCTAGTCCTCCAAAGTCCTCGCCTACTGATGACCAAGCGAGGGCTGTAGCGTCGACGGCTCGGCGCGATTCTTTTCCGCTGGATTTCTTCTTGGAGATGTTCTTTGATCGTTTCGAGGCGGGACCGGTCGCAGTCGGAAGCTTGCGCTTCTTCGAAGGGGGGACCATTGAATAAGTCCGAGTCGCCTCTTCTTAAGGCGCTATCTGTTTCGCTTTTCGCCGTTTCTTTCCGTTGGTGAATCAGCTGATCGAGGTTTCTATTGTCGAGTTTGATCTCGAAGTCTTCACTAAGGTCCCCAATTTTTTGTTTTCCTCCGAACTTTTTCTTAGCTTATCGTTATCGGCAAAAGCTGGTGCCGATCCACCGACCCCCCACCAACAACAGGACATCAGCTGCTGGAGATTTCTTTGGTTCTCTGAAGTGATACTTATATTTCTTGACTACCACGGTTGCAACAATGAGATGAGATAAGCGGGTTTCCCAGACGATCTTACGACACGAGGTCGGCCTTATACTACGACGATACTCTAATCTCACTCTAAATAGGTACTTTGAATAAAGTCATCACTCAAAGGTGTTTTCATGAAATTTATCACTGCAGTCAATCGATCACCTATATTACAATATTAGATGGCAACGGACTTAAGATTGTAAACTAAGGAAATGTATTTCTTTTTCCATTTAGGAACCCAATAAATATGTGAGACATAATAATGCTGTTGTAACACTCCCAAATGAACCGTCATCCATTCTCTCATCCCCTTTAATGACCAAAACACAATAATTACATGCCTTTTTCATGTTGTACATTTCAAATATCCCAACCCCCGTGCTCTACTAATGCGCTCCGCGTGCTCGCTTGGCTCCTCCACCAACTTCCGAATCTCCTCGAGGCCGCTTGTTGCCAGGCTGGAAATCGTTGGCACCAGGGTTCATACCGCCGCGTCCACCACCGCGGCCTCCTCGCCCTCCACGGCCAGCGTTGCCATGTCCACCCTCTTGAGGTCCACTGGCTGCACGTTGGCCAGGAGGCACATAAGCTCCACCCCTTCCGCGTCCGCCACCACGAGGCATAGGGATGCCAGATCGGACCGGTTGTTGGCCTTGTTGTTGGCCCTGCTGCTGTCCCTGCTGCTGTCCCTGCTGCTGTGGTGCCTGCGTCTGTTGCTGGCCGGGCTTAGCAGCGGGTGTTACACCATTTTCATTCTTAGTAGCAAATGGGTTTGGTGCAGCCGCTGTTGCAGCGTCAGCTGGAACAGCGAACGGATTACTCGTCTTGGGACCGGGAATTCCAGTGGTAGCTGTGGCTGCCGCTGCCACCTGCGCTGGCTTGGAGTCTGAGCCTGTTTGTTTTTGTCCCGCCGGAGTTGCGGCTGGTGTCCCCTGAGCAGCCTTAGCACCAGCTGCAGGTGTTGCAGGGGATGGTGATGGAGGCACGCCTGCAACCGAACCCTGTCTGGCCGGAGTAGGCTTTGCTACAGCCGGAGTTGCCGGAGGAGCCACAGCAACCTTGGCCACTTCCCAAACCTCAACCACAGGCTTCTGAGGAGTTTCGGAAACAGCCTTCTCGACTACACCAATCTTGGCATTGGCTGCTCTCAGCTTGTTCTCAGCCATATTGATGCGTAGAGTTGATTTCTTGGACTCCATGAGCTGGGCTTGATCCCTAGCTGCGGCAATCTTGGGTTCATACTCGGTTTTGAGTGCTGATTCCAGCTCCACTTTGAGTTTGGAGCTTTCTATCTCAAGCTTCTTCTTGATGTTGGCAGCAACAATGTTCTTAACTGTAGGGTTAGTCGCCAAGAATTGTCGAATGCCAGTATCATCGAGCTGAGACAGATCGGTTTGTCCAATGGATGAAGGCGTTGCAGGCACAGCAGGGGCTTCTGTTTTGGCCGGTGTTGCAGGGGGTTGATCTGCTGGCTCAGTCTTTGTGACCTCAGCGTTTCTGGCTGTGGGGTTTTCGGCGAGCCAGATCTGCTTTTCTTGCTCGAACTTAAGCTTGAGATCCTCATCCTTCTTCTTGTATTCCTCTTCCATCTTGCTTCGACTCTCCCTCAGCTTGGCGTTCAGAGTATCCCGCATCCTGTCTGAACGTTCTTTGATAGTGGTCTGAATCCTTGTCTCAACCTCATTGGCCTTCTGTTCAAATTCTGCAGCCTTAGCCTCGGCAGCTGCAACTCTCTCTTCCAAAGCCTTCTTCTCTTCGTCGGAGATACTTGAAGCAGGCTGCTCTGTGGAATCGGAAGCTACGGGCTCCGCAGGGGTTTGCTCGGTAGTTTGAGCAGAAGCATTGGCAGTGGCCTCTTGGAGCTTCTTTGTTGCCTCATCACGCTCAGAAATAGCAGTCTGCAACTCATTGCGTAGAGATTCGAGCTGTTGTTCTGCACCTTGCTTCTGCCCATTGATGGCCTCGAGCTCCTTACGAGCATCGGCGAGCTGCTGCTCAAGCTGAGCAACAATGTCGGAAGATACGGAAACTTCAGCAGGTTGGGTAGGTTGGGCAGCTTGGGCGGGAGTAGGAGTAGAGTTTGCAGTCTGAGCCTGTTGTCGTAACTGCTCGACCTCCTTCTGGAAGTTTTGTATTTGTTGTTCAAGCTCAGACTTCTGGTTTCTCGATTCCTCCGCTTCCTTCTTGGTACCTTCGAGCTCACTTGTAGCTTTGTCCAAGCTCTCTTGTAGTTGGTTGGCACGCTGGATGGCCTCGTTCTTCTCTCCGGTAAGTTTCCTTGATCGTTCCTTGGCCTGCTCAACAATCTTGGCGCGCGTGGTACTCCAGTTGTTTCGCTCACTTTCCATGGAGGTTTCGAGTTCGGTAATCTTGGCCTTCAGGGGCTCTTCACCTTGCTTCAAAGCATCACGTTCAGTTTCCAACTCGGTGATCTTCTCCTTAAGCTGCTCCATCTCAGCAGGGTCAACTCGTCCATACTTGGTCAGAATGCCCTCAGTGCGCTTCTGCCATCGGTCGCGATCCTCCTGGATTTGCTTGATTTCATCCTCGAGGAAAGACTTCTGAGTCTTGAGCGTGTCAATTTCAGCCTCCAGGGGTTGGATACGGGCCTCCATCTCTTCAATCTTCTTGTTCTTCTCGCCGATCTGGTCCTTAAGTTGCTGATTCTCGTTGCGCAATGTCATACTGCTTTCGCGATAGATATTGAGCTCATTGAGCTTCTCCATGAGGTCCTGATGTGTCATTGAAGTGCGACCACTCTGGGCAGCCTGTGTGCGTTCTTGATCAAGCTTGAGACGTGCCTCGTCTAGCTGTGACTGAGTATACTCAAGTTGTTGCTGGAGTCGCTTGGCCTCTTGAGCCTTGAGATCATACTGAACCTCGAGAATCTCCTTCTCTCTTCGGAGGTAAGTGTTGAGTTCCCGGAGACCTTCACTGGCGTCTCCCATGGGAACTGGCGACATTCTTTCGTCCTCCTCTTCTCCGCCGCTTCGCTTCTGCTGAAGAGCGGCAACTTGTGTAGACAGGGTTTCTAGTTGTTGGTGAAGAATCTTGTTCTGGGAGTTGACATCTTCTCTTCGAGTCTTGAGTTCTGCCATCTCCTGCTCCAGCTGCTGTCTACGTTCCTCCCAGGAGCTTTCGCTTTGAGCAAGGGTAACCTTAGCAGAGTCCGCTTCTGACTTGAGCGATGCGGCCTCGCTCTTGAGTGTATTGTATTCAGTCCGTAGTTGCTGAACAAGCTTAGCAGCCTCAGCATGCTTCACTAGTTCCTGCTCGTAGTCTTGCTGGGCTTTGGAGGCAATTTCAGCTTGAGCGCGTAGGTCTTGCTGATGGAAGCGAGTTGCCTCCAGGTGCCTTGCGCTCTCCTCTTTCAGTCGGTTCACCTCCTCTTGTAATATGGACTTCTCATCCTCATATCGTCGTGCAACCTCACCCTGGGAGTCACGTAGGCTAGAGAGCTCGGTGTTAGAGCGAGACAACTCCGCCGATAGGTCCTCTGCACGCTGGCTAAGCTCCTTGATTTTGGCATCTTTCTCCTCAATGATGGCCTCCATCTCTTGTCTGTATTGTTCCTGTGAGCCCCGTAGATCCTCAAGCGCTTCTTCGTTAGCCTGGCTGAGCTCTTTGAACTGCTCAGCCTGGGTCTTCGCGTTCTCGAGATGGGTATTGGCCATGTCCAAATTTCGCTTCAGGTCGGAGATCTCGACGTTGAGATCCTGGATCTCATTTTCGAGTTGCTGCTGTTGCTCGCTAACCTCAATAGTTCCAGGTCGGGGCGTAGGTCGGGGTTGGAGTCTTCCAGCTCGTTCCTCAGCGTTTCGTAGCTCAACCGTCAGCTCATCAACGCGAGCCTGAAGGTGATCTCTGCTGGTCTTAACAGCGACATGATCCTCACGAATCTGGCTCAGGCTTGCCATGAGTTCGTCAATTCGCTTCTGTGACTCCTTTGACTCGAACTCCTTCCTAAGTTGCAACTTTTTGGTTTCCTCTGCTTCGTAAGTGAGCTTTCTCTGGGCATCGCTCAGTTTCTGCTCAAGGCTTTCAATCTTGGCCTGCGCTTTGCGTCGGGCTTCCGAATCAGCCATGTTGCGCTCATTCTCGATCGATTGCTGAGTTGCTAACAGATTGTTGAGTCGATTCTTCTCCTCGATAAGGTTCTCGTTGTCCTTGCTTAGTCTATCCTGAATGTCCTTCCAAAGCTTCTTCTCTGCCTTCAGGTTCGCAGTCTCGTTACGAACGCTATCAAGCAAACCTCTGGCTTCAATGAGTTCTTCAGCAACCTGTTGCGTCCGAATATCTTGCTTAGCAGCAGTCTCAGACAAGGTCTGCGCTCGCTTTTGAAGTTCATGGTTCTCACTTTGGAGTGCCACGAAGTTGGTGTGTAACATTTCACGCCTCTCAGATTCAAGGCGGGCTTCGGCGTGAAGTTTAACCTTGTCGGTCTGTAGGCTGTTCCGTTCGGCTGAGAGAGCATCTATCTGATCGCGCAAATCCTTACGAACTCCGTCCTGAGCCTCGCGGTAGCTGTCGTATTCAGACTGAAGCTTGCGCAGTGCCTCGTTTAGAGCCTCGGTTTGCTCAGTTGCCTCAATGCTGGCCAAGGGTAATGGCTCGCCACCAGCAATGGAATTGCGCATCATAGATGCTTCATCGCCGTGAACACCCCGTTGCTGCAAAAGCCTCCGGAACATGTCACGCTCTGTCTTGAAGCTCTCCATTGTCTTCTTGATAGATCTTGCCTCATCGGTCATGTGACTAAGTTCCTGCTGAAGCTTCTCAACCATGTCGTGGTCTTGCTTGGCCTGGTGCTTCTCTGCGAGTGCTTCCTCGCTTTCGAGTTGATTGGCAAGCTCCCGAGTAATGCGAAGAAGGTCTTCGTTCTTGGTCCGCAGAGAATCAATATCCTTGAACACCACCAGCTTCTGTGTAATGAATTGGTGAGTGTCGGACATATCTGACAGCGCCTCCTCTGAAATCTCTCCTTTCTGTAGTTGTTGAAGTCGGAAAGTCTCTTCGTCGGTAAGTTGGTCCGTACCCTTCTCCATGGCGTGGATCTGGAATAACAACATGTTTATTTGAGTACCAAGATCTCGAAGTTGAGTGCGCAGAATATTTGTTTCAGACTGCGAAGTTGCGAGTGCGCTCTCTGCTTTCCTTGCTGCGCGTTTTGCCTTGTCTCGTTCCTCAAAGCTGTTTTGAGACAACTCTGACATTCGAGTAATCTCTTCACGAAGCTGTTCAGCTTCAGTTTGAAGATCCTGGATCTCGGGGGCCTTTGCTTCTAGAGCAGTCATCATATTGTCGAGCTCCTCGGAGAGCTGAGCGTTGCGACGCTTTTCAGTAGCAAGTTGACCCTTGACTTGGTACAGCTGGTCAAGGGCCTGTGTGGTGGTTATCGCACCCTTGCCTCGCATAGACGGTGTGAAAGGGGAGGAAGGTCGCATCAAGGAGCCGTTGGCACGGGGAGTTTCTGGTGCAGACTCGGGTGGTGGTGCGTGCTGCTCCATACGAGCCTGAAGCTCGTCAATTTCGGACTGAAGTTGATTAATGCGTTCCTCCATTTCACTCGTGGTCTGGCGCTCTTGCTCAAGCTCGGTTCGAACGCGTCGGAGCTCGTCCTCGTAGTTATCGCGAAGTCGCTCCTTTTCGCGTTCAAGATCTTGCACTCGTTCTTGGTGTTTCTTGCTCAGCTGGTTAGACATCTCAACCAAACGTTTCTGAGCTTCAAGCTCATGCTTATAACTCTCGATTGTCTGCGCAAAGGTTCCCTCCTGGTTCTGGACCTTCACCAAAGCTTCATCCGCCTTGGCTTGCATGGCATCGAGTCGATCGCGGAGCTGTTGCTCTGTTCTCTTGAGAGAGTCAACCTGAGATTGAATGTCTTCATTTTGTCGCTGGAGCTCGGCAATACGGGAGCCCTTTTCCTTTCGGTACTTGAGGCCCTCCTCGCTCTTTGTCTTGAGTTCGTTCTCTAGCCATTCGCTGTTCTTTCGGGCAAGATCGAGCTGTTGTTGTAAGGATTCTTCTCGGTACTTGGCACTATTGAGTTGGCCCCGCGCGTTCTGCTCCGATTGCTGCAGTGCAGTGATCTCGCGAGAAAGCTCAACATTGCGCTGGTGTTGCTTTGTGAGTTCTTCCGTGATAGTCTGATCGCGCTTGTTATTGGATTCAATAATGCTCAAGTTGGTTCGGTTCGAAGATTGAAGGGTCTCAATCTTGTCATTGAGGGCCTTGATCTCGGCATCATAATCCGATTTCTTAGATTTGAAAACTTGAAGTTCGTTCTCGAGAGATTGTCGCTTCGTTTCTGTGGGGCAAGCGGATGTCAACAACCATCTGACTTGGTTTCGCACAGTCTGTTAAAACATACCTTCGTCCTTGAGCTGTTGTCTAGCCTCTTCAACGTCTTTGAGGGCCTTGTCCGCAGTAGCTTTGAAAGTTTGCGATCGCGTTTCAGAGCTGCGCACCGCGTTCTCCAGTTCAATGTCGGTCTGGAGCTTTTCGGCATAGAGGGTATCAAACTCGTGCGCTTTGGCTGCAACAGCCTGCAGAACAATGTTGACGAGCTCAATGGTCGGTTCTGTCGTCAGAGACGCGATAACGGGCTGGTCGAGGCCGAGGTGGCCTGCGACGTAGCCAATGTCCACGTCTGCGGCCGCCATGGTCGAGGTCGGATCAGGTCAATAGCGCGATACTCGTCATTACCGCAGCTACGCGCTCGAAGATGAAAGCCAGATTAAAAAAGGTAACCCAAGTCCACGTCGGTTGTCGCTTCGATATGTGTCTATCAGATCAACAAATGAGGGTGAGACGTTGATGAAATTCTCCGACAAAGGAAATGGAGCCTTTGTTGTTGGAGAGACTAGGAAATTTGGAGCTCCAAAGCTGAGATGCAACACGCCAACGTTTGCTACCGGGGAAGCAACGTGCACGGGCCAGCTGCAGGTGGAAGCTGCGTTTGTACGGCGCCCAGTTTTTCCGTCCACTGCCTGCTTACCCTACACTTGGAGCCTCAAGCTTTAATATTGTAAACATGTGGCAGTGTGGTAAGTCACCTACTGATGCGTCTCTACTCTGATTAGTAGGCGCTTTGTAAAGAAAATTGTGATTTAACCTTGTAAGTGAAACCGCATTGTGTGGATTGATCCAATGCACCTACGGCTGATCACGCTATAATCTGGAGACTCGTCCGCCTCTTGCACCAGAAACAGAAACAATAATTAAAGATCTTTTAGTAGGGGTAAAGGAAATCTATATTGCAATCTGTGCAACCAACCATACGAAGAGAGTGGAAAATATACTCGATCAGATACAATTAAAAGGTTCTCAATAGGATTAAAACTACAAATCTGTCTGGTATCCATTGACAACCCGAGATTGAATTACACCTATCACCAAGAAGCAACCATAACGCCAGTTTTTGAAGCCATTGCAAGAATAGAGGAGATCAATATCCTTCTATCGACTTCGTATATTAGAATCCAGTTCATAAGCCTCCACAGGCCCTGACTGAAAACCCATTCCATGAAAGCCAGAATATGCTGGCGCAGGACTTACCGGCGACACATAGTCTGATTGTGCCGGTGAATGCCCCCAGTTAGACTTGGCAAGGTGAGCTTGAAGCTCAGCTGTGGGTGCATGATTAGGAGGGAGCTCTGAAATGCCTTGCCCTCCGCCTAGTTCCGGTTTGAGAGAAGTGGTCGATGACAATTCGGAAACAATAGGTGGTGCAGTGTGACCCTTGATATAAGCACTGTTGCCCATGAGCTCTGGATGTCCAGTATATTCTGGAGGCCCATCGGCATTGTTGGAGAGTTCTTCGCCCTTGACTTGACGTTGACGTTTTCTTCGAACACAGAAGAATAGTCCGGCGCCAAGAGCAGCCACCACGACAGCACCAGCAACTCCTCCTGCGATCGGTGCGATACTTGTATTCGATTCATCCTCCTCCTTATTCTCATGGCCAGGCTCAGACTCTTTCGCAAGGCTAGAACTAGAAGTAACAGTTGCGCTAGCTGAACCAGTCATTCCTGGAACTGTTCTCCCTGGGCCAGCACCTGAACTAGCAGTTGGATAAGACTGAAAGATTGATTGGCTGACGGTAGCAACAACCAAACTCTCAGCGGCGCTGCAATAGTACCGAAAGACGTCGATGGCGGATGTAACGTTGGCAATGTGAGTGCTATCGCAGTAGTCCTTGACTCGCTCAGTTAAACTGCTAGAGATGATCTTTGACATTCCTGATTTTATGCAGATGCATGAAGCCAGTTCTTGAGGACCGTCTCCACATAGCCAGGAGCTTTGCTGTACTGTTGTTAGAGGCAGAATCATATATCGAAACATTGGGACTCACCTCCATAACTGCAGAAGCTATCCCGGACTGGGCGCATTTGTTGAGAGACTTGAAATGCGGCATGGCTGTGATGTAGTATGACACTGACAGTATCAACATTAGAATGCTTGCATGAGATATGATTTGAGACTCACTATCTCCAGGAGGCCCTTTCGGGGGTGCAAAAGACGTTGTGCCGTCGTTCATCAGACAGAATTCGCTGTAGAAGTTTTGGGCCGAAGTGACGTCTCCGTTGTTGGAACACGAGTATTTCACGGCGCTCTTGAGTGTTGAAGTAATATCTTGAACAACATCTTTCTTGTTACAGACACACGGCGCATTCAATTCGGCAGCTTCAGGGCACCTTGACGACCCCTATATTTATGTTAGCCAGGCCAAGCCCCCATCACTGGAGTTTGAAAGGTTTCATACAATATTGACCACAGCATAGGACAATCCCGACTGCGCGCAAGGCGGAAGATATGCCAACTCCGGAAGATCTGTTATATATGCCTCCACGATGTTCTTGGTTGGCGAAAAGAACGTGATGTGTTCCTCCTGGTTGCAATACTTCTGCATCAGCTTAGACGCACTTGATAGATCCTCCGTCGCGCTGGAGCCGCAGCTGTATTCTATATCGGTCGAGATCGATGAGGCAACTTCGTCCATTCGAGTCGAGCAGATGCATTTCTGCAATTCGGTTTCTGAGTCGCCGCACATGGTCGAGTATGTCTGCATGCCGACATTGTATGAGATTGCGCTGGAAACACATGGTGCCTAAACAGTCAGTATTGCGCTGACGCTCTTCCCAGGTGCCGTACCAAGTAGGTAAAGATCTCGAGGTCAGTCACGTAAGAGACATCTTTTGCGGTAGTCAGGACAGCCAAGCCCAACAGGCTGCTCCACGAGAGGCCGTGTAAGTGCTTCATTGTACGGAGTATAGACCAAGACTATAACTAAAACACCAAAAAGCACAGAAACAACCGAACAAAGATCCTCACATTCAGCTGCGCACAATACCGCCGGAACATTCCGTCTCGAAAAGGAGCCCTTCATCTTGTCAGCAGCCAGACTATCCTGTAAAATTCCCTATTCTCCTGGTGTGAAGCCTCAAACAACGCCTCTCGAGTCTAGATACAAATTGGGCCAGGACCCCTGAGGCTAGCTGAGATAACTTGTCTAGCTTGTACAGCACACCATCAGCTGCATTTCATCCCACCACCCGAGAGGATAGTGAGTCAGGTCCTGCATCTAAGCAAAGAATAGAGTTATCTCATGCTTAAAGAGAAAACTACTCGGGTGAGACAGCTGCTGAGAGTTTATAGCGAGGTGTTTCATAGTTGAGGGTGCGTGCAGAAGAGGTCGACTCCATCATCACAAGACGATGCGGGCTTTTCTTAGCGCCCCTGGGCTGCATGCTGTTTGTTCGACCAGAGCAATAGACAAACGATTTAATTTCCCTTGAATAGAGAGGTTGAGTCTCACCAAGTTATATACTGAAACCAAAACTGGATGGAGATGGAATTATCCTTTAATCAAGATCTCAATGTTTCATAGCTGATTCAGGTCTCACATGTTATTTCCAAAGGGTGTTTCGATGACCAAAACCCTCGTTCGTCTCAACTGGTCCCAGTGGAGGTCAAAGCGGTACCTGAATTGGGAATAAGGACTTTACCCATCCAGTCATCCCAGCCGGTGGATGCATACTCCTGATTGAGCTAGCCCCCCCGCGCCACACGGATAGTGACTGAAGCGCACCTCGAACCATTGGCTCTCCTGAAATGACCTCCAGGCTCAGTAACTAAGACAATGCCAAGGATTGGGAATCACTCACGACATGAGACGAGTCGGCAACGAGAGCAGGCGACACGACAGCGCATACTGTGAGTATGGTGATCATTTGACGAGCAGGTGATGGAATAGAAGGCGATCAACTGATGTGATGAGGAACTTGTTTTGCAGTGTCAATAGAGTTACCCGACCATGAGTCTGGCCAGGTCTCGTCTTGTTGGCCGGGTACGTAACTTTCCAGGTTCTCCGGCTCTTAAGACCGCGGCAGTTAATTTTCCCTCCACCATGACGTCGACTTTTCCCTTCAATCCGATCATATCTCGATGTTGCAACGACGGATCTTGGGTGATGTCAGAATAGCGACGATCTAGCTTCAAGACAAGGTGTTTTCCTTGGTAGTGTTTTATGGTTGTTGTAGGCCTCCAAACTTTGAAGGTTGCATCAAGAGGAGAGCCATCCAAATTTTCACGCCGATCACTCAAGAATTGCATGGCCATGGAAAGCATGTATCAGAATTATTTGGTAGATTGTTCGTTGCTGTACTATAGTAATAATATGGTAGCTGTTATCCCTCAGCTGTGATCTTGGTGGTATCCCGTAATCCGTAATTGTCCGGTGCCATTGCATACATGTCCATAACGCCTTGCTAATACTCAGAAAACATAAGAAACCATTATGTGGCTAGTATGGCGGTTGCTGCAAACTTGGCTAGTGTCCCAACTCCCGCTTTAAAAAAAAAAGCAGTGTAATATCAAAGACAAAAAGAAATAGTCGTAGAGTGGTAATGTGTAAGCGCTTATAGGACGCGCACAATCTTGGGAACACGATACCGCGAGGGGCTGTCGTAGTACTCGCTGATCATACCGCCCTGAAGACCCATAGGCCTCCGGGGTGGTAATCTTCCGTTGACACTCTGGTCTCGTGCGGAAGCTGTCTTGCGCGAATCGCGGCTATGCTCACGCTGATTTTGTCGCTCTGAGGAGACTTGGCGAGAGCGTTCAGAGTTATGTGTCTCAGAGGAAGAAGCCCTGGAACTGGCGCGAGATCGGGATCTTCGAGGGCTTGCGTGATCCCAGCCAACGGGCTCTTCTGAAATTTCGTCAAGGAGATCATCATCGCTGTCCTCGTCGTCACTTTCAGGGTGGAAGGTACTGTTAAGGGTCTCCCAGAGATCAAGACCAAGGTCGTCCCAGATGACGACGGCCTTGAATAAACGACGGCAGGCTTGTGTGCCAGCAGTCTTGTCGAGCCTGGCAAAAGACTCGAGCTCGCCTAAGCTGGGTAGGTTCTCCCAGGCAATGGAGATCTGATCGGATTGGTCCTTGAAGGGGGATCGCTCAAGGTAGTAGAGGAGGAAGTCTGAGGTTTCGGCCTTGGTTGCGAATTCAGCTTCCTCGAGAGCTTGTAGGCGGAGCTTCTCCTCTTTGTCCTTTTGCTCTTGCTCTTGTTGCTGCCTCTGCTTGCGTCTCTTGGGTACACCAAAGAGTGGGACCTTGGGGACGTTGGAAGTGGTTCCTCGGAGCATCATCGTTGCGGTGTTGTGAGTTGGTGTTGGCTAATGTAGGGAGGTATAGTAAACGTTGTCGAGGTGCTGTATTGGTATATATGGCTGAGCCAGGTCGGATGAAGAGCTGGAGGGGTAGGAATGGGTTGTTGGTCGACGGGGAAGCAAACAAGACAATATGCGTGTCAGGTTGTTGCTATTAAAGGATGTTTATGCATGCGTGTATGCAAGGTGAGAGCACAAACACGACCCAAGCTTGTTAGACGTTTCAAGAGACCAGCTCGTCGAAGCTTTTGGATTTAGCACCAGTACTGCTGTTGGGAGATGCAGCTGGAAAGCAGAATGTCTTGAAGGGAAGAGCAAGATGGGAAAAGTTGAAGTGGTAGGGGTGCTGGCAGATGGATATATGAAGAATTGGATTGGATCGAAATGAATGACACCCTGGGCCTTGTTCCTGGTCCTTTTTGTTTGTCTTTTGTTGTGTTGCGCTGACTAGCCGGGGACCGGGGGGTGTAGGTAAATGTGATGAGGATCCGCGGCTATTTTGGTGGCAGAGGTGAGGTAGCCCAAAGCCCGTGCTTGTACTGTAAGGTACTGTAATAGGTGGTAATTGTATTCTCGGTTTCGGAACTTCGCGGATTGGTTGGTGATCGTGGGAGAGAGAGATCAGCTCGTTTGAGAAACGGGGGAATAGAGGACGCTTTTAATATCATTGTTTCTGGCGGCTTGCTTTTTCTCTTCCGACCCCTTGGCTCGTAAAATCTACTCCTTTCAGGTTTAACTTGTTGTTTTAGGCTGGGCTGGGCTGGGCTGGCCTACTGCAGCCGCCTCAGCCATCAGCCATCAGCTGTAGGTAGGTACCTCCTCTAGTGCAGGTCCGTAATAATTCCATTTACCAAAAACGCCAGAGCGGATCCGTGTCATCATTGAGAAGCTGCTGGAGACGTGACCTGGAGGCGCCCAGCCTGGGCTTGTGATGGCCAATTTAGTCGCAACGGTGTCGGTGTAGGTGGGTGAGTAGGTTACCTGTTACTCACTGTTGTGTACTGTATTGTATGGAGCAGCCCAGTACGGAGTACCGACTGAGTTCTGCTAAAATGATCACCCACTGATTTTCCCCTTGCCTTTCCCAAAAGTCTGGTCTGCCAAGAAGAGAAGCGAGTAAGGCGCACCAGTCACCAGAGCAGAAGACCCCAGCAGAGTGAGGCATCAGCGGGTTTACCTGAACTTAGGCACGGTAGCGAGTTTTGATCCTTGTCCCGTTTTGTCTTTCATTGTCTTGCCGATGCATCTGATTTCTGGTTTGTCTCACCCCGAGTTTGGGGGTTGTTCACGAGGATGCTTCGTGATGATCAGTCGACAATTCTATTGGTTTCGAGACGATACAGTACGGTTACGAGCAGACGGTTCAACATTAGCCGGCTGGACTGGAGGGGCGTCAAATCCAAACCGTACAGTAAGTAAATTCGGAGTAGAGGCTATTTGCTTTTCCCCAGCTCCCGCTCAGCCCTTGAACTGTTTGAAATGAGTTGTCTTGTCAGGTGGAGGCAACACAAAACCCAAGACCTCTTAACTAAGTGACAAAAAGACCTAGGTAAATTTAGTATGTTTTCTTTTGACTCTGAACTAGATTATTTTGACACCTTGAGCAAATGTCAGAAGGTTTCTTGCTCCCTGATCGGCATGTGAGTTCGCCGAACCCTAACCCAACATCTTACGAGCCCGGCAATGTCTCGTTTTGCCGGGTTACGGGTTAGCTCTTTGCCAGAGGAATGCGGTACTCGCTCGAATCACCGCTCTCTTCTCTTGTATTGTCTGGCCTGTCTCGCCTTTCGATTGTGAAGCTTTCCATTGTAAAACGCGAGGCGTTGCTGCTCGTCATGAATTTTTGCCCAATTCTCCGCGGAAGCCGAGTGACCGAACGGATACTGTTCTGTTTGAAACCACTGTTTGCTGCAGCCATTACGGTCTTGGATGCCTAATTGGTTATCGCGAGCAGAGACAATAAGACGCTATTTCTGTTAGGTGCAGCAACATCAAGATTATTGTGAGCGTTCCGTGATTCCGACGTCGTCCCGTCATTAGTGTCTGTACCCGCCAGTTCCTAGTCTCCGCTGCAGTACGATCCCGCCCGTGCGAACGAGCAGTCCTGGCCTGAGGATGATTTAGATGGATGGATGTACCTGGTCGGCCCGTCAAAAGGAGGCACGGACACAGATGGACAGGTCACGCCAGCCAATACATACTACTGCACCCTAGGCATCTCGCACGGTTGGGGCACCCTTGGGATTGCCCATGATAGGTCGGCTTCTGTTCCGGAGGCATAAATGGAACAAGGCAGGGGAAGAGGCGAGACGAGGCGAGACCCCAAAAGCAAGGGACAAAGTACTTTGTAACGAGCCTGAGCCAGGAGAGAGAAGAGAGGAGAGGGAGCACTGAAACGCCAGCAATTGGTAACATTCCCCGTGTCCCAGGAACCCGGAACGAGAACGACAATCTGCCTTTTTCCCGACATCGCAAACTAGGCCCCATCCTGTCGAGTATGTAACTTTCTTAATGTCCAGTGTCCACGCAATCAATCACTGAACCAACCGCCAACGCCAAGGCTTTGAAACAGTAGCCTCGCTCTACCACGGCTAAAGCCATCGAGGCGCAACTTTGTCCTCAATAAGTACACCGTCGACCATGTGGCACTTGACTCGTCAAACTCGCGTTGAGGCTTTCAAGTGCCCATTCAGAATCCACTCACCACTTCTGGGCACTCCCGCTTTGCTCAAACCAGAATGCGATCTGCAAATCCCCAGCTTGTGCCGCGTCTGGACTCCCAGACTAGACCCGACCCTTTGAGGCTATCCCTAGCTATCCTTTCACGCCAGTCATAGCTTCTATCTTGATATCAGATCGGATCAGTTGCACTAACAAAACCTCAACCAACACGACTGTTGAAGTCCATAGCACGAGGCGTTTGTGTTTACGAGTCCACCGCTTTTCTTATCCCACTGAAGTTCGTATCCCACAAAACGACATCACAGTGTCGAATGGCCTTCCACTACCGCACCTCAAACGAGCTACCGTGACTTTTCGCCCGGACTCTGTCCGTAGTCAAACCCTCCACTTCGGTCCGCGATGGGGACCGGAGGCTAAGCCACATGACGGTTCCGCGGTTCCACGCAAGCCTCCGGTGACGGAAGTCCCTGAGATACCCGTTGCTCGAAACAGTGACATTCCATGAAATCCTCGCTCTTTCTTCGGTCTCCCCAGATTCATACTTTTTGCATGCCTCATCTGACGGCATATACCTTAAGTGCGCTTCCGCCGAGAGGGAAGAAACGTCCAGAAGGAAACTCTGCCTGGGCTTTGCGTACGCAGCACGTTCTCTGTATGTTCTGTCGAAGTTAAAAGGCGCGGCTACATTCCAACCATGATCCTTCGCGCAACCTCTACCCCGAAGAGGAATCGCCTCTCGGATAACTCGTAAATCCCCCTGTCCGAGGGCGACAGCGGGTAGATGAGGCTCCTAGTCAAGATTGAGCTGTCGTCAAAGCTGTCATGGAATTCAGCAACGAGGCTTGAGCATTAGGCTTCGAATGTGACGTCTATTCAGAGATGTTTGTTCGGACACTGGAAGAACGAGTATAAGGATTGTGGCTGAAGTCTCTTTCTCCCTGGACAAACTCTCACTTAAGATCAGTAAACAAAATACATTGAGGGTCTGCTCGTGGAATGGACAAGTTCTTGGCGATCAGAACAATGCCAACCAAAAGGCAATCGACTCTATTGTCGTCTCTTTCAAGACTGGCCTCGCTCTTTCGATGTTGTCCCTGAGAGCCGATTAAGATCAGACAAAGCTTGGATGGACTGACCAACAGCATAAATCAGGCACAGGTCCCTTGAATGCGTCATTTCAACGTGGTTGAATTTTGCAAACTCAATTTTGCCCAGATTTTATTCCCATCTCCAACCTCAGCCTTAACAAGGGTGTATCACATACACACAGACGTTGATGGCATGTTCGGCATTAACGGCATAAACAATGTTTCTCTTAGCTGTTCATGCAAGTCAAAGCAAACACCACCATACCATCCGTGCGAACCATCTCTGCCCAATGTCTGATCTACCCGTCTAATTTAGGTAACATGATCCTCCTCTATTTTTCATAGACCCGTGCTAGCAGCTGCCTCGTCGATCCAAGACCCCAGAATCTGGTAATTAGTGTGCGCCTCACCAAAAACCACCGCATTCTTTGGCCCCGAATTTCGCGGCGGCGGCATGGTTCTGTGCAACCGAGCACTCAAAGTTAAAAGCCTTATGCTAAGCGAGCTGGAAATAAGAGAATTGCTTTGGTTCGTTAGAGGAGAGACTAATGCACGCACCTCTGTCAAAAATGCTTTCCGATGTTGATGTCCTTGGTGATACTGATAAGCTACTTTTTGTTTCGGAGCCCGGAGCAAAGCTGGCGACCAACGGCCTTACTAGAGCATCCAGACATTGCCAAGAAAGGACTAATTAACCCTTGGCAAATCCCTCTAGGAACGAAGAGTTCGGGCAAAAGCTATCTCTCGAAATGCTTCGTATGGCCATCTCGAGAGGCAGACCTTGGGTCTTGGCAGCCAAATTAAGATAATGGCATGGTCCTTCTTCCCATGGATCAAACTGATGGGCTTAACCGAAGTGTTGGCGTTGCTGTTGATGAGTCCTTTAGCTTGCAGCCTGAGGATTTGGACAATGGAGTCTTTACTTACAATAGACTTTGCTAACATCCTGCACAAGGAACTCAATATTGACAGTAGGTATCAAAAAGACACTGGAATTGACACAAAAGACTCTTCAAAAGACGGAGATATTGGCTCTTGGCAATAATTCTATATCATTCTTCTCATCTCGTGTAAGTCACATCGAGGAAATCATCATGTGGCTTGACTACCCCGAAGCCTCCTGATCACTCAGGACTGGATCTCCGAGCAGCTTCTCTGAGCAACAACTTACTACATGAAGGAATATGCACATGGTTTTGATGTAAGGAA